CCCCAAAACCCCAAAACCCCAAAACCCCTGTGAGCAATAAAATAATGAAATTATTATGAAAAAGGAAACCCTAAGACTCAGGAAGATTCAAACCACCCCGTTCATCCTGGTTGTGGTCCTGCTACTCATTACATCTCTCGGTAAGGGTCAACAAGGGTTTTAACAATACTGGTGTAGCCAATAGCCAGAATATTTCAGAGATAGAGGAACAAATAAATTTTAGACTGACGAATAGTTCAGTAAATTCATCCAATAGTGGAATTGAAAGTTTGGAATATACAAAACAGAGTGGTGGGAGATTAACTTCAAACTCTATTCTTCAAACTCATTCTACAAGAGGCATTCAGCTGAAGAGTCAGAATAATTGCTCGAAATGATATCCTCCATTTTGGGGTTGTGAGAAAGGAGAGTGTGTTCGGCAATCTGTCTTCTCATTTAACCAACTTGAGATTTTCGGAATATTCATAACCATAATTATCATTGCGATCATGACTGCTGTAAATGTTGGAACTGAAGTTCTCTTGATTCCTGTTATTAAGATATTCTTTTACTTAAATTCAATACACGCTGTTGCTTTATCTCAGATCTGTACAGCAGTATCATCCTTGATCAAGCTCTTAATGATTTGTAAGCACAAAAACCCACATAAAGAAACTGCTGTAATTGACTACAACATTGCTTCGATATTCCTCCCATCAATGTTTATAGGAAGTAACCTTGGCCTGGTCGTGACTTATTTTCTTCCGAATTTTGCTGGTTCTACTATCTTGCTGCTAACACTACTTGCTACAGTTTACAGGATATTTCTCAACGGTCTAAACCTCCTTGACCAAAGCATGACTAAGAAGCCCAACATGGAGTACACAGATATGGCTGACTGAAATCGCTCCCATAATTCAGACGAAGATCTGAGCTTCTCTGTTGGTGAAGAGAGCGAATATGAAATGACTGAGCTAGCCAACTCAGATTTCTGCCACCGTGTCAATAAAGAAAAACTTAATATTTCTTTGTCGACGATTCAAGAATCTGGAAGCAGTGGAGATGGAGACTTTGACCTATCTCCTGGAGGAACGCTCCTACAAAATGAAAATGAGTATTTCCTCTGAAACAAGTTCAAGCTTGTTCTAGTGACAATTGTGAGGCTCATTTTTGCATTGGTGTGATTAGGAAGTAAAGATATTATGAATTGGAGCAAGAAAACAAAAGAAGCATTAATGTTCTATGGGGCTCTGAGTGGCATGCTCTCCACTTTGACCGGCATGGGAGGTGAGATCATATTTATTCCTCTACTATTATCATTAGGTGTTCGACAGAATGTCAGCATCGCAACAGCAACGCTGTTTGGGTTCTTCAGTTCATTGTCTAATGCTGTATTAGCTGTTTTATTCGATGAGGTGTACTATGATTTTGCAATCTGGCTTCTTCTCTGGACCAATATTGGCACTCTTCTCGGTCTTTTTGGTCTGAAGAACTTGATTGAGAGGATCAGCCAGACTAGTACAGTAATCTTCATGATTGTTATCTTGCTCTGCATCGCTATCTGCACTATCATGGTAGATGATGTTGTTGAGATATGGAAAGAATTAACTAAACTCTATGCAATTATTTAGTAGAGCTCTTCTAGACCTTATTTACCAAAATGTTCAATACTGCTTTTTCTAGGAGGGGTTTTGGGGTTTTGGGGTTTTGGGGTTTTGGGG